CACTAGCCACTACTCCTTCAATGCCTTCAGATGACTCTTTCCTTGGACTAGAATCGTTTCTTCACAACCATGTGCTATCCATATCTGCTGAATACATGAGGGGACACTCTGCACATCCCCTCTACACAGCTTTCTCCTTTTTGGTACTCTGCTCTGCAAATTCCAGCTGACTTACTCTTCTTGGGCATTCAGCTCTGTCTCCTCAACTCAGAGAGTCTTCTGGGCCTTCTGCAATTTTTACACTAGTGTTTTACTATTTACTTAGTTTGCTTTCTTATAGGATTACTGTATTAAATGTGGACATGTTTTTATTTCAAATAATTACTATCAGCCATGTTTATGGGTTTTATTTTTTTGAGACAGAATCTTGCTCTGTCACCCAGGCTGGAGTGCAGTGGCACAATCTTGGCTCACTGCAACTTCCACCTCCTGGGTTCTAGCAATTCTCCTGCCTCAGCTTTCAGAGTAGCTGGAACAACAGGCGCACACCACCATGCCCAGCTAATTTTTTGTGTTTTAGTAGAGATGGGGTTTCACCGTGTTTTCCAGGCTGCTCTTGAACTCCTGAGCTCAGGTAATCCACCTGCTTTGGCCTCCCAAAGTGCTAGGATTACAGGCGTGAGCAACTGCACCCAGCCTACGTATTTATTTCTTAATGATTTATGATTAATAAGATGAAAAGAAAAAGGATAGTTGCATTTCTTCTCAATATGATTATATATGTGTAATTACAATTTAAAACAATATTAAAAATAATACAGTTCAGTGTTAATTTTTTTTCTTATATTTAATTTGTTAACTGTTTCGCAAAACATTTAAAATTGAAAAGATAAATCAATACTAAGATGGTCACTTAGATTCTCTGGTTGCTTTTATTTAGTTAATATAAGATGCTGTGATATTAATAAAACTTTAATACTAGGATTTGTAATTAACTGCAATAATATTCATGTTTGTAATCAGCCACAGTCAAGATCCCTCTAATTTTAATATTCTATGAACTCATAGTGTTACACTGCTAAAGGATTCACATTTAGTCTAAAACCAGAAGGGAACTAGTAAAATATTAAAAACATAGGAAAACGATAAAGTACTCAAGATAGGCATATCAATACATTTTCATCCAGTATACATATCTATATAGAAGGCCCAAATCATAAGATTGCTCTTAAGCTGGGAATCAGAGCAAGGGGAGTTAGCAGGGCAATCTTGATGACTGCTGTCATTAAGCCACTTCCCCTTGGTTCATCCAATTCCCAATAGGAAAGACCTACTGCACATCCCAGAGAATGATATCCACAGGCAGGGACTGCTTCTGTTTACAGTGCTGGAGCTTTACTATAAATTTTGGACATCGTTCTTTCTCCCATTTGCCACTCTTTAAAAACATAGTAAGCACAGTGTATTACATGAAGAGTAACCCAACAATTACCTTCTGAAATTTAACATGGTATATTTTGACTGTGTTCCTTAGAGGCAGATTTAACCTAGAGTGACCAAATAATTAATTTAAAAATGGATCTTTTTCCATAGGATTACCAGAGGTGAAAACTACCAAGTTTTCTTTTCTATTTTTCTTTTTTGTTGCAAACCTGAGCCTCTTCCTATCATCGTTGCAGCATAGAGAATGTAAGGGAACAGGAAAGTGGTGTTGGTAACACTTTGAGTAAGATGTATTTAAGATGAAGCAATAGTAATTTTGCTAATCTTTCAGCAAAATTCTTCCTCTAACACTGTGAGAGTTCTCCTTTGTATGAATTTAAGTGCATGATGATTATGCCACTCTGACTTTGATAATATAGCATGGATTTATTAATTCATAGCTGCAAAATAGTCTTAAGCCATGATTGTATGTAACCACATCTCATTAAAACAAAATTTGCTGGTTGTGTAAACTACTTCATATTCCATAGATAAAATGGCAATCAAAGTAGTTACCTACTCTGAGTCCGTTTTTGTCAAAAGAAAGCGTAGGAGGATTACATACCATGCTTCATTTGAATACCTCCAAAATCTGAGGGTTTCAGAGCAGCATTAATCTTCTAAACCTCACAAATATCAGAGACTTTTGAATTTTGATCTCTTAAAATTGGTTTGTAATAATTTAACCTAATGGAGATACACTATAATAATTAAAAGACAGAAAACACAAAGTTCAGGGAAGATTTCTGGCTAAAAGAGCTGAGTTCATATCCTTAAATGGCAGTTCACTTATTAGCTATGTGACTTTGGGACAGTTACTAAGCTTTTATGGGATGTGGTTTTCTTGATATGTAAAATATACATGACAGTGCAGTTGCTTTTGTAAAGTTTTTAATAATAGGGCATATAGCAGACATTTAAAATGTTAGCTCCTACTTCTACTCTATCTTCATGTTTTAGGCCAATCTAGAATTTATTTTTATTTTTTATTCTTTTTTTTTTTTTTTTTTTTTTGAGACAAGGTCTGGCTCTATGGCATGGGCTGGAGTGCTCACAGCAACCTCAGCCTCCCAGGTTGTAAGTGACCCTCCTACCTCAGCCTCCCAAGTATCTGGGACTACAGGTGTGCACCACACCAGGCTAATTTTTCTATTTTTGGTAGAGACAGGTTTTGCTGTGCTGCCCAGGCTGGTCTCAAATTCCGGGATGCAAGCACCTGCCTTGGCCTCCCAAAGTGCTGGGATTACAGGCCTGTGCCTCTGTGCTCAGCTGGCCAGTCTAGAGTTTTTTTATTGTGAGGAAACACAGGACAGAATGTACCTCTGTCCAAAGTAGGATGCATATTTTATATCTGTCTCTCAACTCAGTAAACACAGCATATACAATTGAAACAAAAGTTTCACAAAACAGTATTTATCATATTACGTGCCATGTACTATATATTATTACTGTTTGTTTCCTATTGAAACATAAGTACCATAAAGGTAGGGGCACTTCCCAGTTTTTGTTGACTTGTGTACTCCTAGAACCTAGAACAGTTTTTGACACCAAGCACACAAGTATTTTTTTGTGTTAAGTGACACACACAAGTATTCTGGTTAAGTGAAAGAATGAATAATGAATGACTAAATTGTAACTAGCTATCATGACACAATGGTGCTAAGCTCTTCAAAGTTTTTCTTATTTATTCAGCAGGTAGAAATGGGTTATTATTATTATTGAGACAGAGTTTTGCCCTTCATCCAGAGGAAGTGAAACGGCACACTCTTGGCTGACTGCAACCTCCACCTCCCAGGTTCAAGCGATTCTCCTGCCTCAGTCTCCCCAGTAGCTGGGATTACAGTTGTGCACCATCATACCTGGCTAAGTTTTGTATTTTTAGTAGAGACAGGGTTCCGTGTTGGCCAGGTTGATCTTGAACTCCTGACCTCAGGTGATCCACCCACCTCGGCCTCCCAAAGTGCTAGGATTACAGGCGTGAGCCACTGCGCCTAGACTGGTAGAAATTATTTACATGATTGTCATTGTTGTGTATCTGAGATACGCAATATGCAGCAGAGAGACAATTTCTAGTCCTTCGGTTTCGGAGAAGTAAAACCAAAGCAGTGGTTATGTTGTGATGTTCATCCTGGTGGTGACTGGGGTGGGGTGGGGTGGGGTGGATTTCTTTTTCTAAGGAGGATCCAGGGAGGAAAATAGAGTCTGAAGGTAGGAAACATTCACACTTCAACTATAAAAGGAAATATCCACTTCATAGGGCGTAGGCCATAAATGACTTTGCAACTTAACTTCATCCTCTCCATTTACATAGAGCATACCCAAAGTAACCAATGGAAGAATTCTCTAGGGGTTATTTAAACTCCCCCAAATTCTGTAATGGTCCCTTGAGCTCCTATGCTTGCCTGCTCCCACACCGTGGAGTGTAATTTCATTTAATAAATCCCTTTATTCATTCTTTGCTTTGTGCATTTTGTCCAATTCTTTGTTCAAGACGCCAAAAACCTGGACACCTTCTACCAGTAACAGGATGACAGGCAAAAAGTCTTATCAAGATGCTCATGAATCCAAAGCATACCTCCGACGTCTTGAGTCTTGGATTTCAAGCTTAGCCTGGTTTGGAAAGCAGCAAAGGAAGAAAAACGCAAGACATTTTCTTGAACAATCTTCTGATGCAACTGTGTTTACAGGTTTCATGCCAGCACCCAGGGGGAGCTTTTGGAAAGAGGCTCCCACAGTCTCTGTGTGTTACCAGCGCCTGGGCTTCAGGGAAGCGCGCTGGGGCTGGAGGCTCAGGTCAGAACCGCCCGAGCTAGGGCAGAGGCGGACTTCGGTGGACGGCGATGAGCTGAGAACTCTCGCCCCCTCCACGGGGCAGCGGCCGGGTGGCACGCCCACACCGCGCCTTCCAGTTGGCTCCTGCGGCGACAGGTGAGACACAGCTGAGTGTCAAAGCCACATCCTGGGGTGCTGACGCCAGGGCTCCGCGCTTTGCGCTCCACTCGGCCACTAGCTGGGTAGGAGGCTGGAGGGTCGGGAACAAGGACACTCCCCACACGGGGGCGCTGTCACCTGCCGGTGGGAGGAGCCACAGAGGGACCTGGCTCTTTGCTGCTCTGAAGCGCCGGAGTCGAGAGAACCCATTCAGACATGAAGAGCGCCAAAGGTATTGAGAACTTGGCTTTCGTTCCCTCCAGCCCAGACAACCTGCGCCGCTCGTCTGCGTCGCCCCCCCAGATCGAGGTCTCTGTCTTCTCCTCCGACCCCCAGAGAGAGAATTCGCAGCCACAGGAGCTTCAGAAGCCCCAGGGGCCCCAGAAGTCACTGGAGCCACCTCTGCCTTCAGCCCCTCCCAATGCCTCCGAAGAGCAGCCCCGGTCAATGTCGCTGTCCGAGTTTGAGGAGGGTCCTTGCGGGTGGAGGAACTTGCATCCCCAGTGTCTCCAGCGCTGCAACACGCCTCAAGGCTTTCTGCTTCACTACTGCCTCTTGGCAGTCACACAAGGTAAAGTCTAGCGCCCGCTCGAGGGGGCGTTGGTCCAGGGGAGAGCTAGGTGGGCACGGCGAGCTGGCCGGGGGAGAGGGCAGGTGCGCGGGGTCCGCGGGGCGGTGGACGCGCACTGCAAGGGCCCGGGGTTTGGAACTTGCCTGCGTTCTCATCAACGTCAACCTACCGGCTCCAGCCAGACTTCCACAGTTCAGCTTCTCCTTTATCGGTACGGTTCAGACTTGCTATACAAGCCTTTTTCTCTTTTGTGTGTTATCTGTTAAGCGGATTCAGTACCTCCAGGGAAGATTACAAGAACCTTCCTTTGGGAAAAGTGTACCCTGGGGGAGTTGATTTTACATAGACAATTTACCAAGTCTCTCTTTAAAGGGATTTTACTTTTACGTTTGTTTCGTTGCTTCAGGGGAAGGAGTAATACATTTGCAGATGAGAGTAGTTTGCCTTGCAAAGGAGAAAGCTATGCAAAATCTAGTGTATAAATTAGATATAGACATTCATCTTTTGTCAGTGTATTATTTAGTTTGAGAGTATGTGGGCACCAGAGCAGCCCACTGAGTAAATTAGCCAAGGCTCCCGACGTTGTTGAAGGGAGCCTTAATCTTCATTGTGTTACGATAGTTATTCAGTATGTTTTGTTCTAGGATCTCTTTTAGATTTTCTTGGGTGTTACAAAGTTCAGATTTATACCCTCAGGGATTTGCAATCTAAGCTGAGTTTGGAGGAGTTATATCCTGGAGGGAGAACAGCTCCCTTGAAAGAAAGCACAGAGAAAGTTAAAGCTGCTATGATGTGTTTAATATAGAGGTTGAAAGAAAATAGGAAGTTATTCTGAGGCGACTTTGAGAAAGGGTGGAGATGAAGTGGAGTGTCCTGAAGGACAGGCCGAATCTTAGTTGAATTGGCATGTAGGTATTTTTTGGTCACTTGAATCATAGTCTGAGAATATTTTCTGTATAATAATCAGTCAATAATTAATTGGAAGAAATACAACCTTAGAAATATTTTTTTTAGAGGGCTGGAAATAGCCCATTTTTAAAGTTAATAGAAAACTAAGTAAAAGCATAAGTATACTTCTTGTTCTTATTCTTCCTCTTCAAGGAACCCAGGGCCTCTTGCTTTGCACATTAAATGCTAAGTAACCATTTGTTGATTGCAAGTCAGCTGCAGCTCTTCCACTTAAGGTAGATTTCTGTTGAATTGTTTCCCTGTCCACTTTTCTTGTTCCCACCAAAGTTCCCCTCCACTAATGTCTTGATCATACTTTTCCGAAATTGGTGATTGTGAAGCATCTCAGTGTCAAAGGAATGCAAAGGTAAAAAAAGTTGGACACAAGTAAAAAAAAAGTCTTATCTTTTGTGTTATCTTAAAATTTCTCTGAAATTTCGATATTATTCCAGAATATATAATTTTATATTTAATATAAAATATTGCTTAAAATTGTTGTCAAATATAATTGTTCCTTCTAGAAAATTGTGTCACATTTCATCTGGAGCAGCATCTACCCAGAGGTCCCCAATTTAAGAAGCTTAATCAGAGATAAAAATAACCAACTAGGCCGGGTGTGGTGGCACAAGCCTGTAATCCCAGCACTTTGGGAGGCCAAAGCGGGCGAATCGCCCGAGGTCAGGAGTTTCAGACCAGTCTGGTCAACAGGGCGAAACTCCATTTCTACTAAAAATGAAAACATTAGCTGGGTGTGGTGGCACATGCCTGTAATCCCAGCTACTTCTGGGGATGAGGTAGGAGAATCGTTTGAACTCGGGAGGCGGAGGTTACAGTGAGCCCAGGTAGTGCCATTGCACTCCAGCCCGGACAACAAGAGCAAAACTCTCTCTCAAACAAACCAAACAAAGCACCACGCACATGTAGTTCCATCTACTTAGGGGGCTGAGGTACCAGAATCACTCAAACCTGGGAGGTAGAGGTTGCAGTGAGCCGAGATGGCGCCACTGCACTCCAACCTGGGTGACAGGGCGAAACAAGGTCTAAAAAAAAAATAATAATAATAATAAAAAGTGTGATCCAACAGATTATTAGTTTACGTTTCAGCTGAAGTTTAAATGGCTGAAAACTATTGCCATGTTTCTCAAACATGATCCTTAAGAAGGTCATTTCCATGGTATATTTAAGTATATGTTTAATTGGAAAAAAAAGCAAAATTTGTCAAATGAGTTTGTTTAACCCAGCATTTCTCCAAGACAAACAGAAGGTCTCTAATATTTAATTTTCTAATGTACTTCCTATTGCCATTCATTTACAATAGAGAGATGTAGTATTCAGTGTTTCTTGATTTTTAGTTTAGTTTTGTTTTAAGGAGTGTTCTTGGAACCTGTATAGCATAGAATCCACTTTGAGTCATTGGATTAATGTGCTGCACTTCCAGCAGAGGTTACCAATTTTTTTTCAAAGAAAAGTTTTACCACAAAAACGCTTTCTAATAACTATTTTTTAATCAGTATGGTAGGTGTGAGGAAAGTTGATTTTATTGAATGGGGGAAATTTTGTATGATTAGATAACTTATAAAAATGTCATCCCCAGGTACTTCAGGCACATTATTTTGAAATCCCAGGAATTGTAAATTGGCTTATAGTCTTATCAAGCTGGTATAAAAGTAAAAATTATGTTAGGAGTTTTGAAACTTGTCAAACTTGTTGGATTTATTTTTTTTTTTTGAAATATGTTTTCAGCTATGGTTTTGATAAATCAAAATTTAAAGAGATTTGTGGAGATCATGACTTGTATGTGTATACTCGTTATGTTATTGAATGAAAACAATTTATCATACCTAAATAAAAGGAGTATCTAGTTAATTCAATCACATGTTTTTAATTTTTAATTTATAGTAATGTTTAAACTCCTGTGAGTTTAATCTGTACTGTTAATGAATAAAGGCAGTTTATTATACCTAAGTAAAGGAATCTCTAGTTAATACAATTAGAGTTTTTGAATTTTCAATTTATAGTAATGTTTAAGCCTTTGTAAGTTTAATTTGTATCTGGACAGGACATTTTTAAGTAAGTCAAAATTTTCAGATTTTCAGTCTTACCTTGTTTACATTCTATTCCTTCACTATAGTTTTAATAAGTATATGTTTTTTTCTTTTACTTTTCATACGATTTAGAATGCAATTGGTTGAAAGACTTATGTTTACTTTTGCTCTAAAATCTTTCACATAGTAACTTTAATATCTGTAAGAAAGTTAGAAAAAAAGTAGGGGTTTGCTCAATTTCTCCTTCCTAAGACCAAATCAAGCTTATCTCTTTTTGGGGGACTAGGAGAAAGAAGGGAGGAGATAAAGTAATAGTCGAAGTTATCTCTTGTTATAGATAAGTATGTTTAAGGATTGAGTAATTTGGGAAGCAATTGAACCTAACAGTAATGGCCTATGCAGTCTCTTGTGTCTTTTGTAGTCTTCTGATTGAGGTCCATGGGAGTATGACTTTTTAATACCTGGAAACTCTGGCAAAATGGCTTCATGGGACATTACCAGTCTGGCTTTGTCATTTAAAGAAAAATGAATAAAGGCTAGTTAACTATAATTTAGTATGTAGCAAGCATGAGTTTTGTTGGACACCTGAAAATTCACAAGTGTACAATTTAAAAAGCAAACTGATATTTAGGGAAATATAAGCAAACGGATTTTTAGGTTGCCTAACTTTGCAACTTTGAGACTTTAAGTACTGGCACATTTTAAAAAACCGAAAGAAGTAAATAACCAAACTCTACTCCCTTGTGTTAATAACCTTAAATCATATGGTAAAATTTTAATGACGTGCATACATTTTTCTCTTTTTTAGGCATGATAGTTAATGGCCTAGTAAATATTAGCATTTCCACTATTGAGAAGCGTTATGAAATGAAGAGTTCCCTGACTGGCCTGATTTCATCAAGCTACGATATTTCATTCTGTTTGTTGTCTTTATTTGTATCGTTCTTTGGTGAAAGAGGACACAAGCCGAGATGGCTTGCATTTGCAGCCTTTATGATAGGACTGGGAGCACTTGTATTCTCATTACCACAATTTTTCAGTGGAGAATATCAATTGGGGTCTCCCTTTGAAGGTAAGTTTCTATTTGTGTTTGTTTGTTTTAATCTAAAGATGTGGATAAAAAAACTAGGTCATTAACTTTATATTGCAATTCACTTCTACAGTATGGTAAGGGTTTACATCTCTTTCACTGCTTTCTGCTTTGCTCATTGTGTGAACTGTGTGAGACAGGAGATTAGAGAGACTGTATAGTATTCATTGTTTCAGTGGTTCTCCAAGTTTTTAAGCCTCCGATTCTTATTCCGCATGTTATACACGGCCCTCCTCAAAAAGAGATGACTTGTTTTCCTTTTCAGGTTGTGACGTCATTGGAATTCTGAGATCTTTAGTTTTTCCCTTTGTACTTTTATTTATTTGTTTATTGATTTTGTAGAAAGTGGTTTATTTAGAGAAAGAGTGAAAAAAAAAAGACAAGGAGAGAGAAAGAAACAGCTAACTCTCACACTAAGTGAGAGAATTCAGAAAGCTGGAATCCAGGAGAGGAAAGCACCTTCCACACTGAGTGGAAGGGAATAGGGAGAGATGGAGTTTAGGAGGAAGGGGACTCCAGAGGGAAAATCCAGGAGACAGAAAGATGGCTTCCACGAAGGGAGTGTTCATGGAAGGGAATCCAAACATGAGTCCTTATACTTTTATTTGATGTGTTTACAGCTCTGCACCCTGGATATGTTGATTCCTGATTTGATATAAAGAGAGGTAACATTTAGAAAAGTGGAACTTACCCTAAGAAATGAAACCAGCTCTACCTTTGGACTTAGATAAGAAGCACGGAACTTCAGAGCAATCTACACTATAGGTTGCTCTGGTTAGATGGAGAAATATATTATTAAAGGCTCAAAAAAGAAATTTGATTATATATATATTTTTCCAAAATAACATTATTAATAAAAAAAATAAATATAATGTAGACAGAAGAGTGGACTAATGAAAGTAAACCTTAATATTTTTATGTCCTTTCTCGGAATTCTAATAGCAAATGTTGAAATAATTAGGAATAAATTCAGATGGTTACTAATTCAGAAGCTTTATTCACTTACTTAACCCCTAAAAATAAAAGGAGAATTGGAGCCTGTTATGCTATAGGTATTATTTTTAAAAAGTTAAGATTGTTAGATTTGTGTTAATATTGAAAATTAATATTTGCTATAGTGTGGATGTTTGTCCCCCTAAACATTGATCCTAGTGTTGGAGGGAGGTATTTGGATCATGGGGGTGGATCGCTCATGAATACATTAATGCCCTGGGGATGAGGTCAGTGAATTCTCACTGTTTGTTCCCAAGAAAACTGCTTGTTAAAGAGAGTTGGAGCTAGATGTGGGGGCTCATGCGCATAATCACAGCACTTTGGAAGGCTGAGGCAGAAGAATCTCTTGAGCTCAGGGGTTTGAGACCAGCCTGGGCAATATAGTGAGACGTTCTACAAACAAAAAAACAATTCCAGCCCCTCCACTGTAGCTTTCTTGTTCCTCTCTCCCCATGTGATCTCTGTGATCTCTGGCTGGCTACCCTCTGCATTCTGCTCTGAGTGGAAGCAGCTGGATGCCCTCACTAGAAGCAGGTGCTGGCATTGCATTCTTGTACAGCCAGTAAAACTGTGAGCCAAATTTATTTTCTTCATAAATGCCTCAGATGTTCCGTTTTAGCAATGAAATTGGACCAAGATCAATTTTCCAATTCTAGAACAATAACAAACAGGAAAATATTCTCAATAATAAAGTATATATTATGTAGAATAGTTTTAGAAGTGCACTTACTTGGTAAGTAGACTTCATTTTGGAAGTAAAAATAGAATGTGTAAGTGGATGAATGGAGAGTATTTTTAAAATGTGGTAGAGTTTGGAATGAATAAGAAGAATATGTTATCAACAGCAAAACCACTTACATAGATTCTAGCACATGATCCGAGATTGGACAAGATTGCACAAGGCAAATTGACATAATTTCACTGGGAGTAGTTTTAGGAACAAGCCACATATTGCAGCATAGGCTTTAGGATAACACTATTGAAATCTAAAGAGTAAGGGAATACCTAAATTTCAATCTGCCACAAAAGAAAATATGATACTGATTCTATGATAGTTACTGGTTTACAGCATTTAGGTGGTAATCTTTGTGCTGTATCTAGGCCGTCACTCACCTTTCAGTTGCTCAGATACCTTTCTTGTTCTCAAGTACAAAAACCTTGCTTAAAATACTATGACTCTCTAAACTGAAACATAAATGCTTCTTCCAGTACAAAGCCTGATCTGTCTTCCACAATTTTCTCAGCTTCATCTCTTGCCATTTATTCTTGGAGTTATGGCCATTCTAAAGAACTTATTTTCTTAAAGGAAAATTGCCACAAATTAAGGTGTTTGTATGTAACCAGAGACACAGCTAAGATTGTTGAAGCCAAATTATAAACTTTTAGTACTTTAATGTGTATTGTGCAGGTTTCACCAAGTTCTTGTTGAGCTATTTGACATTTTTCATTATTTTAGTAGATTATTGAAATAGGTTGTATAGAGGAATTGGCTGAGCTAAGATTTTTACTTAGATTTACTTTTATGGATTTATAATTTAAATAATAACTTGTATGTGGCAAATGAAAGCAAAAACTCAGCTTGCCCTTATGTTATTCTGCCATTTATATTACATATATTGATTGATATGTTGAGATAATACCAGTAAAGCAGTTCCATGTCACGTGGATTTTATGTTTTAGTGGGAAGAAATATGCAATTAATAAACAAATGAACAAGGTAAGTGAAAATTGAGGTGAGTGGCTAAAGGGGCAAATAGTATGAAATAATACTGTGTCAAAGGTTAATATATGGGCCAGGAAAGACTACAGTGATAATATCTGAATAAGGAAGAGCTAACCTTGAAAGATGCTTTCCAGGCTGTAGAAAAATATGATTAAGGGCCTTGGAGCAGTGGAGGGCTTGGTAGGTTTTAGGAATTGTCAGTTTTGGCCAGCATCATCAAAGCAAGGGAGGCTGTTTTGGAGAGGCAGGTAGGCACCAGGAAGGCATTTAGACTTTGTTTGAAGTGCAGTGCACAGTTGTGGAAGAGTTTCACATGGGGAAGTGCGTGATTTTACTGGAGTTTGAGAGACAAGAGTAAATAGGAAGCAATCACTCTGGAAATTTGTATTGTAGTCCAGTTGAGAGAAAAATGTGACTGAAACTGGGGTGGTAGCAGTAGAGATCCAGAAGATGACTGATTCTCAGTGTTTTGGAGGAAAAAGAAATACGACTCTGTTGGATTTATTGTGAAGGAGGAATGAAGGACTCTGGTATTTTGCTTGACCAGCTGAGGTCATTTTTACTAGAAGGTGGAAGACTAGGCAGAACAGAATTGGAGTGGAAATTAAGAATTGGGGTTCGGAGTTTTTAAGTATGAATTGTATATTATATATCCAGTGTTGCAGTGTATATCCTCTAACATATGTGTTTACATAAATGTGCAATCCTTCATTTGGTTTGATTCCTAGAGTTGCAAATATTGGACTTGAAGGGCTTCCTCATTCTAGTTTTTGGTAGATAATGTCACACTGACTTTCAGGAAGGGATATATTAGTTACTCTCCCATTGCTGGTGAATGAAAATGTGTCACTGTTGTGTTGAATTTTTGCATTTTTTTCCCGTGTAAGTTTTTCTTGTGGTGTGCATAGGTGTTTATAATAATATTACAGACATGGAATTCAGGATTGAAATTACATTATACATTTTAGGGAATCCAGACATTTAGAAATGGAAGGGATGTTAAAAATGATAAATCCCTTATTTTTACAATGTAAGCCCTCTGGAAAGAAGTGAAGTGATTTCATAGACAGTCAACAACAGCTAAAACTAATCTTAATTTTTATGGTTTCTTTACTGTTTTTCAAATTTGTATGCTTATGACTCATACTAAGTTATTGACTATATTGAATTATTTTAATTTTTTAAATAAATTTAAACCATTTCTTCCCCTATTTCTAATAGGTACAATGGTTTGTATTAATCTACTTTTGTAAGTATGGGAATCTTTAATGAAAAATCTGAATTATTTGTGAAACTTTAAGGAGAGTAGAGAAGAAAACTTACAAAAAGGAAACTGGAAAAGGAAAACAGATTAGTTGAAAGCTTCAAGTAAATTAATTAGAGGCAAGAGGATGTGTAGTCTTAAGTAACTTAACAAAACATGAGCATAATATTAATAAATCATTTTATTTGAAATTACACATGTAATTTAATTTTAAATGGACAGTGAGAAAATTAACATATCCTTGTGTGCTTTTTCTGTTGTTTTTGTGTTTTGAACTTGAGGGAAACCAAAGTCAGGGTTCACTTTGGATGGGATAATCTGTATAAGAGGAGACTAAAGTAATATAGTATAGTTAGCAAATAGAAGAAAACAAAACATACAATATGATAAGCACATATAATTTCTACAGGTGTGAGAATAACACAAAAGAACATTAAAAGCAAAAGTTAGGAAGGTATATTTTGAAACAGCTTGGATTTTCTGTTGTGTTGTAAACGGTAAATTCAAGTAGGTTGGAGAGAAAGTTTTTATTAAGGGAAGCTTTTAGAAACACTTATGCATTCGAGGTGATTAACTTTGGAGATGATCAAAGGGAAGTTGTGGTTGTTATTAGATTAAAAAAGGGGTGGTATTCAAATTAAGAGGAACAAATACATATTATTAAGGGCTATTTTTTTGTACAAGTTAACCTGAAAGTAGAATAGTGTCAAAACACTTTCAAATGAGTCATATTTGACATTCTTTTTTTTACTTACTTTGACATAATATTAATATGACACAGCTTACTGCAATGTGACTTTAAAATATTTAAAATGCAATAAATAAATCTTTACCACATAACTTTTTTTATCTAAACAATTTTAATTTCTTTTAGATGAATGTTATTTTAATGTTACCAAGCAAAATAATCTTTATGTCTCTTTGAGACTTTGGGAAAGAGGTCGTTATTAAATACTGAGGAATTGTAGAAAAGTAGTTATTAAATCCAGTAAAGCTCTTTTT